TACAGGATCCCAAGCAGGTGGTAGTACCCAGCCTCCCTCTCTATTGAAATTAGCATTTTTTTTTAATTTCAATAGCCTCGCGTAATTTTCTTGGCAGTAGTCGATGTTCCTTCGCGAGAATTTGTGGTTTATCAAATCTTATGTAATGGCGAGGGCCGTCTAGAATATGATCACAAACTCCAGACTTCCCGGAACGTTGGAGCTTCATGTCAGCTATGTGTTCTTTTACGCGGGTTTTTATTGATCGTTTTGTTTGCCCTATATATGAGAGACATCATTCACAATTAAGCTTGTACACTCCTGCATCTTGTCAGTGTGTGCTGACAATGTTATACCACCACCATAACTCTATGACTATGCCATAGCAAAGGAGATTAAAATAAAATATAACTCAAATATTAACAAAAAAAATATAATTGTGAATAGCGATGACCGCGATAGGCGAAGTGTAGGGCGACCCCCCACTAAATGGAGTGACGACCTGGTAAGACATGCAGGAAGTCGATGGGTGAAGGTGGCTCAGGACCGTTCTTTGTGAACTTTTGAAGAGCTGTAATGATGATCATGATGATAGCGATGACGTGGAAAAAAATCTAGACATAACTTTAAAACTCTTTAAAGGGACATAAAATTACAAATTGCTTCATGTCAGGAACATCTTTTAGTATCATATCGTCCACTTCATTGCAGTCTTCTAGGCACGGTGAAAACGGTTTTGTAACTCGAACTGAAAGGTTTCGGGACTTTGGAACAGAGCACGAGGGGGACGGAGCGTTGACTTCATTAGACGAGACCTCTCCATCTTAACGTTTAGGTTCAGTGTGCCTCTAACCATTCGGTGATCGCTACCATTTTTCACCCTCGCTATCACGGAGATATCACTGAACAGTTGTCGTCTGGTCGTCATAATGAAGTCAATCTCATTTTTTGTCGAACCGTCGGGGCTCGACCAGGTCCACTTACTGTGGGGCCACTTCTGGAAGAAAGAGTTCATCATAAAGAGTCCCTCTTTCTCCATGAAGTCGGTCAGCTGCTGGCCCCTTGGGTTCCGTTGCCCTATTCCAAATTTCCCTACTTTCAGCTCACCGTTCTCTCTTGTGCCTAGTTTTGCATTGAAGTCTCCCATTAACACCGTATATTGGGTTTTGGAGGACTCTAGAGATATCCTCATACATTTCCTCCACCTCCTCATCGGGGTGTACCGAGGTTGGTGCGTAAACCTGTATGACCTACAGCGAATACCGTTTGCTGATTCTGAGTATAAGGTACGCAACCCTCGTCGACACACTCCCGATCTTTACAACGTTGTTAACGAGAGACTTGTGGACGATAAATGCGACACCTCCTTGGTACAGATGGTCACCCTCCCGGTGATAGAGCAAGTTACCGGATTCGAGGATTATCGTGTCCTCCCCCTCTCTTCGGACTTCGGATAATCCTATAATATGCCAGCGCAACTTGTCGTCTACCTCTTATATATATATACATATATATTACTATGTATATATGTATTTGTCTTATCTATGTACTTATATACCATTCTATATTTCTATTTTATGGCTTTAATAAAAATAATCTTATTTTTGTCGCCAAACCACACACGTTTTTATTGTTTTCTTGCAATCCTGTCCATCCAAAGGTTGTCTTGTCTGGAAGAGATCGCTCTTAGCGATAAGACCACCCATTGTACCACAATTATTTTTCTTATTTTTTGTTTTGTTATTTTTTGGCGTACAATAAAGTGTTATCTATCTATCTATGCTTCCCTATTGATTTTCTAAAAAATTATACATACGTCTACGAATTTTTGCAATTGTTAGAAACAATAACAAAAATTATAAAAGTCATCGCCAAAAATATATAAGAGTAAGTAATTTTTAAAGGGCAGTAGGTAATACTGATTATTGCATACTGAAATACTAAGTGTTGGTTAATTATTTAAGATTACTATTAACTGTCGTGCATATTTTGTTTTGTCGGAAATTTTAATTTTCCCTATCTGTAAAGATATTTAATAAAAGTTGATTTAAAATTGATCGTATCTTTCACTACCTAAATACAAACGTTTACATTATATAAGATATACCTACTATGTATCTTCTTTAGCACAAGTCTATAATATTCCATTTCGCTTCGGTATCAACCCTAGCGTTACACGCACCGGCTTAATGTCTCATGTACTGCGATATGTATGCGATATGTGCGATATGGGTTAGAATTCGATTAGTTGTAAGGAGTGTAAGGTGTTAACTAGTTGTATTAATTTTATATTGTATTGTTCTTGTACTTTTTATGTAGTTTATTAGTACTAGACATAGCTTTTTTGAGAAAGTGTTGCGTAACTGAGTGTGGGGGTGTAATATATGTGTATTTTAGGGTAGTTAGTTATAAGAATCGGATTACCGCAAGTGTTCTGGCTATATTACCCTCTCTCTCGGATTTAACCGCAAAGCTGAACAGACGTATATTATTTTGCTACACTAATAACATACATACATATAAATGTGTGTGTGATGGTCGTATCCCCGGTCAACACTACAAGTTAAAAAGTAAATAATAAGATGGCACATTTTCTACCAGTCTTAAATTATATTTGAATAGGTAATATCTATCTTGTGTCCCAAACTTATACGTGGTAGATCCATACTGCAGCTATACTAGTAGTATAGTTGAAGCATGAATAGGTCAGTTCGACCGGGGAACGACACAGAATACCAGCGTAAAATAGCAGCTTAACACTGCACTTTTTCCTATGGTGAGTGTAGAGAACCGGAGACCCTTTTAACTGGAAAAGATACATTCTATCTTAGTCCTCACGGGTGACAACGCACCTGCATTTTAATTCGCAAACGAGGATAGATGTAGATGTCTATGGGCCACAGCAACCACTTACCATCAGGTGGACTGTGTACTCGTTTGTCACCCCATCTTATATAAAAAAAAACATGATTATTAAATTATTTGCGTGAATTAAATGAAATTTGTCGTTAGTATTATTACAATTCTATATAAAATTTAATTTTTTATTACATATTAAGTTATTCACTTGTAAATTTAAATTATGTCTTAGATTATTTTCCTATGGCAATCCCTGTATGTAAGGCAGTGTGAACAAGACAATTTTGTATACATTTAAGTTTATCAATATATCTTAATAACTCTTTGTTGTTTACACTTCCACTTATACCAAAAAATTATTATTGTACTATTCAGTTCAAAATTTAGTACCTAATTATAATTTTAATATATTATATATATAGGTCTAAGTATTTTATATATAAGTCCTCTGACACCGACCATTTCCAGTTTTCGTAATAGTATGCTGTGCGCAACGAGATCGAAGGCTTTGGATAAATCAAGAAACAATGCTGTGGTTAAAAAAATTTTTTTTGTTAAAATTTAACTAATGAGATTAAATGTGGCTAATGTTGTAGATTTTTGTTTCTGAAAGCCATATTTGTCATTCTTTATTAAATTGAATTTCTTGCAAAATCTCGTAATCTTTTGTACATACATTTTTCTAGTATTTTTGACAATATTGGTATTATTGTAATTGGACGATAATTGGTAATATCATTTCTCTTACCCTTTTTAAATAATGGCTTTACAATCGACAATTTTACAGTTTCGGGAAAAGTACCACATGAAAGTGACAAGTTAATTAAATATGTCAAAATAGAGACTAATTCATTTACAGACTTCTTAATTATTTTCGTATTAATACCGTCATATCCATCAGAGTTAGTGTTATTAAGAGATAGGATTTATTTTTTAACCTCTTCGTCTGTCATGGGCTTAACAAACATTGAGTTAGATAGTGATTTTTCATTACTAGTATAGCTGTTTGGTTTATTCATTATTGTCAAATTATTAGGGAAATCAGTAAAATAGTTATCGAAAATCGAAGCTATGTCAGTAGAATTTTTAATCAGTTCATTATTTATTTTCAAATCCGTAACGCCATGGTCGAAGTTTGAATTTGAGATTGCATTTTTTATTACAGACCATGTAGCTTTACATTTAATTTTGCTTTTGTGTATGAATTTTATAGTAGAATTTCTTGTCGATCTTTGAATACATTTTTTCAAAATCTTTGAATATGTGATGTAACTTTCTTATTTAATTCTGATTTATTCCTGTAGTATCTATATCGGAGTAATCTTTTAATTGTACAACTTCTTTTTAAACCTCGACTTATCCAATTGTTTGTAGTATTATTATTATTTATCATTATTCTAATAAGTGGAAAACATAAATTATAAATTAAACGTAGAAATTCATGAAATGTATTAAACACGTTATTTATATCAGTCTATAAGTATATATCAGACCAAGATATATTCATAAGACATTCCCTAAATTTCCGTATGTTCTCAATAGTCTTTTTTGTAAATAAAATAAGCTTTAGTCTTTAAATTTTTTCTTTTTATGGGGATTTCCAGTAGTTGCGCTGTTTTATGGTCAGACAGGTATAAAGGTAGAATGGTAGCCGTTGCGTCTGTGAGGTTGCTTAAAATATGGTCTATACAAGAGTTTTTTCAGGTCGGTACCTTAATATGAATGCTTAGATTGTAGTTGTGACATAGATCCTGGGAAAAATTAGTAACATTTCCCTGTTTTAAAGTGTTAATATTAAAGTCACCAGTTACAAGTAGCTTAATGTTTGGCTTATGACTGCCAAGTAAGTCATATAAAAGTTTGTCCAGGTTATCTAAGAAAATAGTAGAGTTTGACAAGGGAGTTCTATAAATACATATTATAATTAATCCGTGTACAGGAATTTCAATTCCATAAGTCAAATGTATTTGGTATTGCATAATATTGTAATTTACTAATTTCTTTGTATGTTATGTTGCGCTGTACCAAGATATAAAATGCAGTTGCTAAATCGTAACCTTTTATTTGTAGGTATTTATCGTAACCATCTCGCAAAAACGTTTCAGAGAAACATAGTATATCGGGTTCGTTCTCGACCTCACGTAACTCATGGAGTGTTAATTCTAATAGTTCTTGTTTTGATAAAATACTAGCAATGTTTTGGTGCATGATTTTGTGAGAAAGAGATGGCTTTTGCTTTTTGTTCCCGAAAAAACTGATTTCCATCTATTATGGGGAAGTAATAGGGTATGGTACCTTTTTTTCGAATCGAAAGTGGATTTTATAGCATTAGTTCCACTGATGGAAGCACTTTGTAACTGCATTTTTGCAAAGTAATAGGGGACTGTGCCTTTCAGGTGTTTTATATTAAATTTAGTTGCTTCCTGAGGCTGTGGTTTATTGCGAGTTATTATCTTTTGAAGTTTCATATTTAAATATTTATTATCGTAGTCAAAACAGTCGATGATAAAATTGATTGATATAGAAATATTTAACAAACTGCTATTAATACATTCTACAAAATAACAGCTTTTATAAGCATTGCAAGTAATTTTTAACGCATTATTCAATTCATGAACATTCAAATACATATTTTAATGGGTTAATAACTATCACAGAATTGTAACTAAATTAATTAAGCAAACTACGCAATAGAGATGATAATATATTAATATCATAATCATTTTCACCGATACATATTACAATTTTTTCATTTGATGTTACTTCTAAGTTATGACAATTTTTTAAAACATCTGCAGCTAGAGCATACGGTTTCGTTTGCGAGGTAACCAAATATATTTCGTATGTTGTACGCTCTCGTGACCGTATCAATGCAGCGGCTAAACCAACACATTGTGGAGTTCCAAAGATCAATATCCCGTGTTCACACCCTTAGCTGCCCCGGCAAAGGTCGAATGGGCTAGGGCCCATAGTAGCCTCCTCGACGAGCAACAGAGGACGGGGCCCAATGGCCTATGGATAAATGTTCAAAAACGGCTGACAAATAACCAAGAATTTACCGTCTCCGGAGGTAGGGTTGACCACATGGTACCAGTCAGAAGATAAGTGAGGTGTTTGTAAAGTGGTGTGCGAAAGTGTATATACATGTAACCTGACTTAACCGTTGAAGTCGGACCGCAGATCCACAAGCGCAATCACCAATTGAAAACTTCTGCCTTCATTTCACTATTTCAGTTTATCAAATTTATTGTACACTATTTCAATCTTTCAACTTTATTGTACATTTAATTAACTTCAAACTCAAGGATAAGCCTCGTTAATCGTATTCAAACACGTGACACACGGCACAACTAATGAACGGTCGATCAAAGTTCAATATTCAAAGTTCCGGGTTCACCCAGGACAGAACCACAAACACGGGAACGAACGCGGTTTCTTCTTGAGTCACAAAGTTAGCGTTCCGCACGACATATAAAATTCTTTCGTACGATATTAACAGGCCACACAAGCAGATTAAATATTGCAAATGCGCTTCAAAATGCAATCACTTTACAAATTGACGTGAATTATTTGCAAACAAAGGTAAATTAATCATTCAACTCAACATAAGGGCCTCGTTATCACTTCAAACTCTCCAAACAGACAACTCAATTCGAAGCGGTCTTAAAGAGACCCAAATCTTTGATAGTAAATTAGACGCGCGCAATTACTCAAATTCTAGACCATCAAAACCAACACTGGTCGCGCGCAACCAACCCAGCGGTCGCAAAACAATACAAACTAGTCGACAAAGCCGCGGCGGTCAAGCGGGAAGCGGCATACCGCCGCCCCCTCCCCCCGGCGGCAATCACGTCACCTCACACCATCGGGCGATGCGCGGAGTTAAACGCTATTGGATGCAGTTTCAAATGCCCATGTTTGGGCCTAAACAAACCCCTGTCCCGGACATAAGGACTTAAAAAGGTGTTACTCAATTTCAATTTTCTATTCAACAAAGCAAACATAATGATCAAATATATTTACAAAAACATATGTAAACGTATTCAAAGAGCACATTAAATTCGCCCTTTTACTCACAACCGCTACAACTATGAAACATTTCGCGGAAAACCCAAAGCATTTTTATTTTTAATTTAAAGCATTATTAATTAAGTGCTCGACCAACCAAATCTAATACTCCTTGACAGCGTGTTTCATCGCTCCAGGGGAGCCCTAGTCTTCCCACCAACTAAGTGGAGGCCACACCGCCTTGTGAACCCGAATCCAACAGAGCGCGAACCGCTAAACAGTCGCCACTTGGGTTGTAAGCCTTCACTGAGGTCGTCGGCAACAGAACAGTTTGACTAGTGGACTGTTGACGGCTCAAAGGCTCAGTGGAGGCGGCCGTGGTGGGAGCTAGGGCGGCAGCTAGCTAGGGCTGCCTCCATCAAAGGGGGACGGCGGTACCCCAGCCGCGGCCACTCAGCTAACGGGGGTGAGAAGGGTCTAGCTGACTACTGAGTGGCCGTGAAGTTCCTCTCCACACGCTGAGGGGGAGGTGACGATACCCCCGCCCCTGGGGGAACGACCCCCCGACTGGTCGGGGGAGGGACCTCTTTCAAACCTAGGGGCTTGGTGGCTGGCAGGCGAGCGCCGAGCGCCGTCCGATAGAGGGCGTGGCTGAACGCACCCGCCCGTGGGGGTCAAGGGCCCGGCAGAGCCCCAAGAGGATACGCCGTTCGCACCCAGGCACAAACCTGCATGGTGATTGCCCTGGCAATGTGGATAGGGCCGCTGGTGCGGGCAGTCACGCTGGAGGTGCCTTTCCAAACACGAGTAGCACCAGCGGCGCTCCTTGGCGATAGTTCGCCTAGCCGGAACCGGCTTACCTAATAACTTCGGGCACGACGTCACCCGGTGATCGGATGCTCGACAATAGGAACAGGGGGCGCCTCCCTGGCTACTAGGCTACTGTAAGATGGTAGGGAGCGGCGGCCTCTCGCGTGAGCTCCGATCGGCCCTAGGGGGGTTGACGACGACTTGCCCGGCGTTTTCCGCCTCTCACTGGGCACGGCTTGTAAGTCGTCAACTGTGCCCGCCGCGTTCTCAATCTGCCGGCACTGCTCCTCCAAGAACCGCAGCAGATCACTGAGGGCGGAATATAGGAGGCGCCGTCCCCGCCGTACCTCTCCTCAAAATGTATCCGAAGGTCGAGAGGCAGGCGGGACAACACGATGTGGAGCTACAAAAAGGACCATTCGTCCACCGGTAAATCCAGCCGCCTCAACGCATTACAGGCCACCAAGACTGGATTCACGATGTCCGGACGTAGTCTGGCCCGGTCTCTAAGCAGCGGGAGGCTTAGAAGCTGCCTTACGTATTCGTCCGCAATTCGCCGGACGTTGGCGTATCTTCCGGCGAGCAAGTCCCGGGCAGTCTGGTAGGCGTCGTCCGAGGCGTCGTCCGAAAATCTCAAATGGCCGACGACGCCCAGGGCCTCCCCCTCCAGTGAGGCTAGGAGGTACGCCATCTTCTGGCTTGGTTTCAAGTCTCTCCGGGCGTCAACTAGGCTATCAAAAAGCCCAACAAAAGTCATCCAGTCGGAGAGGACCCCGGAGAACCTTGGCAGGTCCAGAGTTGGGAGTCGTCCCAACAGCTCCGGCTGAGTAGGCCGCTTCCGAGGGGACCCGGGCAGGCCACTCATCAGAGCTTCATGCGCTTCCTGAGCATACTTGGCCCGCGCCTCGATCAAGTCATCCGTGAGCGAAAAGAACTGCTCGTAGTCCGCGAGGCAGGAGTCCAGGACTCCCTTTTCCGCATCCGAGGCCTCGAGCTCAGCGTAAGCCACCTCCACTACGGCCCCCCGGGCCGCGACCTGCGTGAGCCGCTTCTCCAAACTATAGACCCTATCCGGTCGCCCTATCAAAGCATGGGCGCTAACGGCCCAGCGCAGCTCCGCCTTAAGGCGACGCATTGGTAGCTTGTGCGATGGCATCACTACTAAATACAAATTAATCCGCGGCACAAATACAAATTAAATTAACAAGTAACATCTACAATTTCTATTAAATTAAGTTAAATACAAATTACACTACACAACAAATACACACTACCGTCGATCAGCAAAGATGCCTCGCTGAAGCGACCGAGCCTTCGGCAATTCAATCTACTTGCCCGAAATACCTGACGAGTAGATACGTAACCCTAACCAAAATACACTCCGGCTTGCGCAGTCTAACCGGCGTGGTTTTTAATTCTACTCACTAACAAACAAATAAAAAGGTTTAATTTTTATTACGTACTATTTTAATTTATATTACGGCCGGGCTTGGTTGGAGAACCAAGTAACCACGCTCTGCTACCAAAAAAATGTTCACGCCCTTAGCTGCCCCGGCAAAGGTCGAATGGGTTAGGGCCCATAGTAGCCTCCTCGACGAGCAACAGAGGACGGGGCGCAATGGCCTATGGATAAACGTTCAAAAACGGCTGACAAATAAGCAAGCACTTACCGTCTCCGGAGGTAGGGTTGACCATATGGTACCAGTTAGGTGATAAGTGAGGTGTATGTAAAGTGGTGTGCGAAAGTGTATATACATATAACCTGACTTAACCGTTAAAGTCGGACCGCAAATCCACAAGCGCAATCACCAATTGAAAACTTCTGCCTTCATTTCACTATTTCAGTTTATCAACTTTATTGTACATTTAATTAACTTCAAACTCAAGGATAAGCCTCGTAAATCGTACTCAAACACGTGACACACGGCACAACTAATGAACGGTCGATCAAAATTCAATATTCAAAGTTCCGGGTTCACCCAGCACAGAACCACAAACACGGGAACAAACGCGGTCTCTTCTTGAGTCACAAAGTAGTAAAGTCGTGATAGTAGTATGACTGTAGTCATGTTTAATTTTATTTTTATCTGAAGTAGATAATCGAGTAGGTGTAAGTGAACTTTGCATGGTATATCTACTTTCCTTTTTAGAGCTGCGATTTATTCGACTATCATGTAACGGGGACTGGCATAATGTTTTTAGCATACTATTTTCTTTATTTAACTTAGTAGTTTGTTTGCGTAGGTCAATATTTTCTATTAATGTATTATCCAATTCATTTTGTGAACTAATGAGTTCTGTCCGAAATTGTTCTATAGTTTCCTTCATTTCTTGTACTGAGATAGAATCTGCTATTGTATTATCCACACTCCTTGATAGTAACTGATCCGGTGTCAGTGGAAATTCATCTGATGTCTGCGTTTCTGTAAGTATGTGAGAGTCATGTATTTGGGAATTCGTACAAGAAGGCGTTGAAGGAGCCGACTCTGTCATCTTCTTAGGTATAGTGTTACAGTATAATTTAGGAGAATGCTGTTTCTTTCTCATTGCGACATAGGATAATTCATTGTTGTCAGTAGATCGTAGGTTTTTTTATTGTCACAAATCTTACAAGTCCATTTTTTCCTTGTATTAGAGTCCTTTAGGCGATATAATTTTTCTGATTATCCAATACAGTCGAACTCATAATTATTTTTGCATACTGAATATAAAATTGTATTTCTAGAGTCCACAGTGTTTTTACATTTATAACATGTAACATACACTGACATCTTACGGCTACTTTTTGTACTTTTTGTTTGTGCTTTCATTGACATCGTGATCAGCGAATATATTTAATGATCACAAAAGAAAGGTTCGTTCTAGTTCAATAAACTTCCACTAGATCTCAGCACATAGTCTTAATTCAATCAATAATTCAAATATTATGTTGATAGAATAGTTTAGTTTAACACGATTATACTAGGTGTCATTAGTGGTCCGGTATGCCGTATAAATAACAACAGCTGATTGGTCAGCTGAATGTTGTTTACTTTAACCTGAGATACAACGATTATATTGAAAAAAGGTCACTTTATAAAATCCACAGCATTATACTAGTTTTAATATAAGTTTGAAGTTGGTATTTACTCTTATTTTATTACTCACTTGATATATCTAGATTATACCGCGGCCACTTATTTTTTTTCTAACATCATTAAAATTAAGCTCAATAAATACTCGTGTGTAACACAAATTTTAGTCAAAAACCTTAACTAATTCACCAAGATAACATTTGTGCATCATCATAATGTACTATTACTTTGATATATTAAGTCTGAGGCGGTAAAATAGCCAAATTACACTTTTTATTCCATTTTAATACGGGAGCCAATGTGAACACGGTCACTGTCACTAGTGTCACCATCGAAAGAAAGTTGAAGGTAACCATCAACTTCTCAACCCCCCCCCCCCCCGTGAATATAGACGCTTTAGAATGCAGGAATTAAATAAAGTTAAAATCAAACGCGATAAAATTCGTAAAGTTAGTTTTATTCTATGTGTAATATTCGCGTAAATATAAGAAATAACTTAAACTTCAAGACTTATCGCAGAAAAATCAACAGAATCTTTCGAAAAATTTTTAGAAATTTGATGATATATAATTAGTATGGTGTCCACTAATTAAAGTCTAGGGTTTTAGTAAGTTAGTTAGTTTATCAGTAAGTAAAAACGCAGCACAAAGAAAACGTCTACTCGCCACTGATTACAGATCGGCAATGCGAATGAGGCTCCCCCGTTGGTGTGTGCACTACATTTAATTATACATATATCACATCTCTTTCTTTTTATATATTAATTACCTTTATTACTACAATAAACAAACAGAATAATGTTTTATACGTTAATCAATTATCAATCTAAACTTCTTTATCGTAATCAACAACTTTCCATTTACCTTCCACTTTTTAAGGTGTACGATATTCCTCCTGTACTCCTGACCGGTCTCATCATTCTTTATATTTATATCACTTTCTTCAGAACTAATAACAGTATGGGGAATCGGGTTAAAATTGTCTTTTATCAAGTTCTTTACGTACACTTTATCTCCTATTCCTAGTTCCCTATCAATAGCTCCTTTTCCTGTCTTCGTTTAATTTGCTTTTCTCTTTTCTTTCTTTCTCTCGGTCTCTTATTTCTTGATCGTCATAATTATTTTCGAGATTTGTTAAAAAAGGTAGTTTGACTCTGAATTGTCTCCAAAGAACAGCTCAGATGATGGGTACTGCTATACATCAACAGGTATTTTAACAAATCATCTTTTCAGTCTGATTTCTCACATCAACTGATTCGCAGTCGCTTAAGGATATCCCTGGTTTGCCTCTCTACCTCAACATTTTGTTGAGGCTAGTAAGGGATCGTATTAAAAAGCGTAATTCCTTGTTCATTCCAGAATATTTCGAATTCCTGACTAAGAATTGTCTGCCATTGTCGGCTGTTATACTAGCAGTATTTCCAGCTCGTGAAAGATTTTTTATCGCTTTTATGTCTTGTGTTGAAATAGATTTCATGATTTTAATCGCTTTGTATCGACTGTAATAGTCATTAATCACTAAAAGACAATCCCCACTTGGCAGTGGACCTAAAAAATTAACGGCTGTATCCACCCATGCTTTCGAAAGGAGTTCACGCCTTTTCATAAGTACTAGTGGATTGGATGCTGAGACTAAATTTTCGGCATCTTTGTCTATTTTTGTGATTTTACTGCAACATCGCCTACAGAAATTAACCTCTTTTTAGAATATAGTTTCGTTGCTTTAGTGTCGATTTTATTTAGACTGGTAGTTGTTGTGCTCCGTCTATCGTAAAGCTCGTTTAGCTGCCGTTCTACAGTTTCTAGGGAGTTTGCCACTGCTACGATTTTTTTGATTCTTGCCGTGTCAACGAGTACCAAATATTCTTGCTTAATTTGGTCAAGTTACACTTTTCTATTACTAGGTCAATAAGATTTTCATGTGCACTGGCGAAATTGCATTTAGAGCTTTGACATCGTAGACGAACCAAAAAATTTTCAAACTTCTCGTCCGGCTCTTGTTTCATCAACAAAAAGGTATGCCTTTCAAGTGAACAACTTCGTTTGGGGAGGAAAAATACTAGTCCAACTTTTTATTGCGGTTTCATACACGACAGTTGCGTCAATATCAGTTACGTGAGCACCAAGTATATTGAAATAAATATATTATAACGCCATCCCTCCGAAATGTAATAACATGGCACGTTTTGTATTTCGATCATTGGTATTTGTTGCTACGAAGTATACTTCTAAAGCACGTTTCAATCTTTTTTATATAAATGGGGCAAACGGGCATGCGGCTCACCTGATGGTAATTGACTACCGCCGCCCATGAACAACCACAACACCAGGGGAATTGCAGATGCGTTGCCGGCCTTTTAGAAAGGTGTAAGCTCTTTTCTTGAAGGTCTTAAAGTCGTATCGGTCTAGAAAAATCGCCGGTGTTAAACAATTCCACAGGGAAGTTGTACGAGGAAGAAAACTCCTAATAAATCGTACAGTCGTGGACCACCAAGCATCCAGATGGTGAGGATGAAATGGTAAATTTTGACGCGATGTGTGTTCGTGAAATTTGGCGGCTGGAATTAATCCGAACAATTCCTCAGAACACTCCCCGTGGTAAATTCGATAGAAAATGCAAAGGTATGCAACATCCCTACCCAGTGCCAGTGTATCGAGCCCGGTCCGGCCCGAACTCGGTCGTCGACGATTCGAACCGCTCTGCATTGTTCTGTGTTGTGCAAGTTGAAGTAGCTGGCACTATGGTGCCTTGGCCCATAGATGAGAATAGTATTCCATGTGAGGCCGAACTTGCGCTTTGTAAAGTTGCAAGGGATGTGCCGGCATGAAATATTGTTTCGCTCTGATAAGCACGCCAAGAGGCCTTTTCTAGAGGCCAATTTGGCATTCCCTTCCAAGTGACCACAAAACTGCACACTATTTGATATGTCGACGCCGAGGATTCCGATGCTAGCTGAGGCAGCAAGGAGAGTGCCTTGAAACTAACGAAGATACGACAAAGGGGTTCTTTTTAGCAGTAAACGCACAAACTTATGTCTTCTGGAGATTGAACTGGACTAGATTTAGTCGCCCCCAATCCGAGATTTTGTTCAGCAAAGACTCGACTTCAGACACAAGTTTGTCCCGGTACTCGGCGACGTTTTTCGAGAAATATTGGCATTGCCGGTATATAAGGCATCACCAATGCTGTCGGCTGCATAGCAATGAATGTTACCGGTTTGCAACATATCATTGATATGCAGGAGAAACAGCGTTGGTGATAGCACACAGCCTTGTGGAACACCAGTGTTGATAGGCTTGAAATCAGAGCATGCACCGTCTACTACGACCTTGATGCTCCGATCAGCAAGGACACTTGTGATCCATTTGCACAATTTCTCGTGAAGCCCATAGGAAGGAAGCTTCGAAAGAAGCGCTTTGTGCCAGACCCGATCGAAGACCTTCGCTATGTCCAAACTAACGGACGATGTCTCCCCCTTGGACTCTACTGCCTCCGGCCATCTACGTGTCAGGTAGACCAGAAGATTACCGACGAAAACCATTTGGCGGTCACTAATCAGCTGGTGATCCTCAACGTAGCTCATGAGCTGGCAGTTTATAATGTATTCCATTATTTTGGAGAACACTAAGGTGATGGCGATAGGCCTGTAGTTGGACGGGTCTGAGCGGTCGCCTTTTTTAGGGATCGGGTGGACCAAAGCTGTCTTCCATGAATTTGGGACTATGCCTTGGAAGTAGGAGTGCCGGAAAGGACACGTTCAAACAGGTGCCGACTCCGGAGCACACGTCTTCAGCACAATGGGAGGGAATCTATCAGGCTCACTCGACTTGCTGACGTCCAGGGACAAGAGTGTTTTGCGAACCGAGTGCTGTGTAAATCGCACATCCGGCATGGAGCACTCACACCGCGGGATGGTCGGCGGTGTGTTCCCCCGTCATCTAGAGTACGAGTTGAACGGAAAGAGAGAGCTTAACAGATCGGCTTTTACCTTTGCGGCATGTGCCAGTGAGTAGTCCTCTCTGTGCAGAGAATGAAGAGATGGCTGACAGAAGTTCCCTTGGACAGCCTTGGAGAGAGACCAGAATGCACTAGATCCCGAAGGAAGGCGAAATAGCTTCTCGTCAATTCTGCCAATTGTGCTCAGATCTTGCATTGGCAATGACGGACCTGTATACGGAATTATACTTATTTTTAAGAGCGCTGGTGTTTATATCCCAAAACGTTGATGTGTCAGCCCAGGCCTGGTAGCACTCCTGCTTGAAGCGTGATGCTATTTTACAGGAGCCACCAAACCATGGCTGGGATCTGTCTCCGATGGACACCACAGAGAATGAAATAAAAAGTTCCAAACCCTGAAGTACCACATCAGCAACAGAATCGATAACAGCGCTGGGATCTTCCGGCGAGAAGCAAACCCGCCCCCAAGGTTAGGATGCAAAAACAGACCGCATCCCGACCCAATCGGCCAACCCATAGTGCCAAGCACGGCGGCAAGCTGCAGATCGCAACTGCGATGGGAGCGTGAGTGGCACAGTACTCTGGATCAGACAATGGTCCGAAGAGCCCAGAGGGGTATCGACGGATACCTGATATCCGTCCGGATGAGAGATTAGCAGAAGGTCCAACAGAGAAGGTACATGATCCTCCACATCTGGGATCAGCGTAGGCGAAGTAACCAGTTGTGTTAGACCATACGCCAAGGCAAAGTCATAGACAGATGTACCCACATGATCGGT